GTGGTAGATCTGCCACTTTTTTGAGCATCTACCACATCTACCACTCAAGGTCTAAAATCTACCACATATTCGCGTTTTTGCGCAGCTTTATTTTTGTTCGACATAATTTTCTTAATTTTAAGAGTAAAAATTTTCCAACACTAAACTCTGTACGGTAACAAGAATGATATAATACAAGATTTCGCATTCCCGGCGACGATGAAATTTCTCAAGTAAAAGTAAACAAAGCTGAATGGAAAGATTAAATAAACTGTTAGGGCCGGTTGTTCAATGTCTGATTAGCACAAATCATAGGTAGAAGCTCCGGTTAAATAGAACGACTGCTTTATCGATCACATGTTATATGCATGATGTCGAAAACGTCGGTAATGATGTTTAACCGGCATGTGGTGGTAACCAGACATTGAACAATCGGCCCTAAAATAGTAAATTTTCTCAGTAATAAATTTTTCGACAGAAAACGTGGTTTTGTTGTGTTAAATTGCAAAATATATGATTTATAAAAAGAATTAGTAGCGAAAATTAAAAAAACGGCGATTTTTGTGAAAGTATTAGCAAATTCAAATGCATCTAAGGCCTCTTAGGCGTTGTTTACTTTTACTTGAGAATTGTCAAAATCGGTAAATCCCAGTTAGCTGTTTCTGGTACGTGCCACATTTGTTCGCTACTTCGTGATGTGATAAAAAGAAAAGCTGGCAGTACTCCACAAGGTTGCAGAAATCTCTTAAAATATGTTCGAAAAATATCTTGATATGGAAGGAATTGCTTTACTCTGCCAAGGAAAAAAATGCCAAAATTCAACGCAATGTTTAGCCAATACAATCTTACACTTTATTATACTAAACCTCAATTTTTTTTATAGTCTAATTAAAAAGTTTGCAATTTAGGTGAAACCTTGTAGAATTTTTTTAATTTATGTACAAAGTTTGATCCAAACCCAGAGATCTACCACATTTTTTGAAATCTACCACATTGTTTTCCAGATTCTACCACACAGAATTTTTTTTTAAGTCCGATCACTGCTGTGCAGTTGCCGCAGTGAAATCGGTCAGAGAAAACATAATTTCGGCGCACGACGGCTTCCGTCAGTTGTCATTTGGATTTGAAAATTAGCATTAAGATGAAATATTTGTTCGGTACGTGAGTGTATGTAGATTTGCTGGAAATAAAAAAATAGATGAAACCTATTGGAAAACTTGTGAAAATAATAAAAATTACTACGGTAAGAACGCTGCCGCCTCATTTATGAGCCATTCCATATGCTTTTGTGAGTTTTTAATTACAGGTATTGTCTTCCAATAGAGTTTTGCTTCACACCGAAATTCGTGCTCTCTTATTTTTCGCTCAATTTAATTTTATAATTTTCTAAGAAAAAAAAAACACGTTTGAAATGAAGTGAGCTATACAAATTTTGAATTTATTTACAAGCAAATATTTTTTTGCAAATTAAATAGGTTCTCTGCAAGAAGGTTTGTCTTAAAAAATACGTGTACATGTAGGATATATTGGGGTATGGAAATATCCCTTTTCCCTAGCAGCTAACCTTTTAGTGTGGGCAACAATGATATTTTTTAAATAAGGCAGATCGGAATATGCGCTCTCTGGGAAGACCTGTATACCTGTAATTATTGTTTGCAATAATATTGTCCCATACGAGCACCGGTTTTTACCGTGCAATCTGTGCAGCGTGCAAGGGCTTTGAAGGCCTCAGAGAATACCTCTAATATGTTAGTGTTTGCCCGAGGTTCTCCTCCGATTTGTGGTGTGCGCCTTGGTGTTGTCCCACAGAGGGGTGGTTTGCCATTGCCCGCCTAGGGGCGACCACTATTAAGTAGATAAAACTTGTTTTTCATTTTTTGATGTTGGTTGGAAAGTGAGCTTGAACCCAGTCACCGCGTAATCGTAGCGCGCACTGCTAATCACTACACTGTAGCGGCGTATCAAAAGTGGAATTAGAAGGCGTATTTTTTTTGGTGATTTATCCCGGAATTATGCCGGATTAGTGGCATTTTTTGCAGGGTACTGTTCGAAAAATGGAAAATGTAAATACGTTTACATATATTCTGATATATTTACATATGTATACACATATCCACACAAAAAAAAACAAAAAAAAAAAACGAAAATATAATTCAAAACGTTTGGCATTTATTTAATTATGTTGTTAGTCGCCAGCACACTAACCGGTTAAATAGAATTACATTATTTGTTTTTTGGCCACTGCGTTAGAATGTTATTTACTTACATACATAAATATATGTATGTGTATGTATGAACATATGTATATGTATATGTATGTAGAATAATAGATAGTTATGGGTATGCAAGTATGTTTTAAAAAGTCACATTTATGTAGTCGTATTTATAAACACTAGATATTTATTATAAATGTACAGAAATATACATCTACCCCAATTAATTAGCAAACAAAAAAAAAATTCTTAGTATTTTTTTTTTGTTTACTACAAACACATTTGAAATAGAAGTACATAACTTAATTTTAGCCTGTTTGTTTCTGATTGATTGAAGAGAAATCCGCTTTTTGAATAAAAAATACACGCAAAACTTGTTTGTTTTTATTTAAATAATTAATTCGTTTTTAATACATAGCATTAATAATGATATAAATATGTATAACCTTGAGATGTTTTTTTTTTTTTTTTTCAATTGGCGTCATATGCCTTGCTTTCTTCCAACAAACGAAGGGCCCTACTGTTACATACTTAGACGCCAATATCCTTATAATCGAATCCAAAACAACTTTTGGACTCAAAATATTGAAAAACAAGCAAACTTATACTTAAATATCTTTGCATGTATGCACATTTTCGCCCTAGCTAACGAAAGTTTTTAGACTCTACATAATTAATTCTCATTACTACATATTAGGACGGGACAATGAGCAGGACGGTTGGTTGTAGATGTCTCTAACCGCACTTTATACAAAGGAACACGGTCAAAACTGATGTAGAGAACAGCATAGTTAAATATACATCAGCGGTGCCAGATTCACGTTTTTAACGTCATATTGATATTTTTCATGGCTTGTTGTCGTGAGGGCACTTTTTT